TTCTAAAAATAGAATTATTGTCCCATATCATGGAGACAACCCCAATACTAGAAATGGCGCGTGCTTACGGTCTCCGTCCCCGATTATGGCTCCTGCTAAAACTTGATAGCAACACGGAAAAATCTATTTCGTATATAAGATAATTTAGCCGTTAATTCGCATATTGCAGATAGATTTATTCACCTCAGTAAGATCTCTGAAGTCGGCACCTGAACTTTTAGAGCCAATAATATCCACAAGAACCGAAACTTTGTTCTTTTTGGTTCTCAGAACCTGACCTCCAGTGCCTGAAGCTAAGCTTTGGTACAGATGTTGTGATCCTAGGTGTGCCTCCACAATGCTTGATCTTCGTTTTCGTCCATATGAGCAGCGTCCACTTAATATAAAATTTATCCTCACTCTTTTTTGCTTTGCCAAAATAAGAACTACTTGAGTTAACATTAGATCTTTGGCGTCGGCATCGGAGAAGAAGTAAATAGCAGAGTCTTCGACACTTTGAAGAAGGGCTTGATATAATCCCGTCATGCCTAACTCAGGGCAGTCGCCTCCTCCGTTAGCTTTAAGAGAGCTTACGGCCTGAATTACTTCTTCTGGGTTACTTGTAACAGTTACGGGACCAACTCCTGAGAAAGTAGTAAACGTGTAATTTACATTTCCCACTGTAATACCTATCGGTCTGAAAACTAGCTCAGACTAAATAAGTAATGACAGCGTTCAATTTCAAGAAAAGATACGAAAAACTAGCTGTCGTGGTTCACCCAATCCAAAATACGCATAACTTGGTCAGTTTTGCTTGTTTTTGTTTTTCAAATGATCATGACGGCTAAGAAATGCACCAAGATTCAAAACGCACGTACATTGCAATTATATGCTGCTTGTTTGCGTCACCTTCGTGGTTTGCTAGGCTGGTTTCCAGATATTCACTACGATCGCTCAACTTTTCTTACTTTGCAGCGATCATATCGAAACCAGCCTTTACTAAAATCGAGTGGACCGTTTCTTACTTACGTGGGTCATTGAATGGTACAAGGATGTAAAAAAAAGCCGTGCTGCCTGCGGGATTCTCTGTTTTCTGTACAAAATCGGTAGATAATTTCTTGACAGACTTGATCTCCTCTTTATCAAACAGAACATAAGAAACTAATTATATTGATACTAATCCTCTTTTAAGGATTAGTATTTAAAGTTTTCAGAAGCATTTTAATACCTCATTTTTGTAATTAGTTGTTAGATCTTATTTACTTGTTGTAGAGCGTTTTTAACATAAGCCTCTGGCTCGGAAGATTGTGCAAACACTTCCCACGTTTTCGATATTAAGAGCAAGTGTACACAAGAATCAAAGGTAGTTCGGTGAGGCTTGAAAAATAGAATTTGCCCTACTGTTGCATATGAGTAGGCCTTAGTAAAAGTCAAAACTCTATGTAGTTTTTTCTTCAAATATCTTGGTATTTCCGAGAAAAAGGACATTATCGGTTTCACGTCTAGACATCAATCTAACGAGTTCTAACTGGGCTGAAAATTGACCATTTTCATTCGATTCGCATTTCGCAACTATTGAGCACAGAAAAGTTGCAATACAACCAACTTAATGCAGAACTATTCCTTGTCCAAAAAGGCCCAGTTTCAAGAATATTGGATTTATCTAACTATTTAGCAGTAAACACAACCAAAGTGTTCTCCAACAATGAGTGCGTCAGTCGGTGAAAACAATTGTCATTTTGACCATGTGCCATCTCTCGGAATTCCAAAAGATTTTAGATTCTAACTATACTATGATAGGTCTTTCAATATACGTAAAGTTTGGTTTGGGCAAATGATTAGGCACTCGTCAAAACGTTATTCAAATCATACATAAAAAAATTAAAATCACGCCAGCAGTCAAATGCGTGACCAAAAGTACTACCATTGATTTTGTCATTAAATCACTTCAATTCGAAATATCACAGGAATATCAGCACAATTAAGCATAAACCAACATATATATGTTTACCTTAGATGGGTCATCATGTCTTGACTGTCAAACAACATCCCTATCCTGCCATTTCAACGGTGTTCCATAAGGTTTGCATAACCTGCACGTATTCGTCTGGTGATTTTGAATTCCCCAAATCGTTCAATATTACCAAGTTCCTATGCAAATGTTCCCACGTTTTCCGTTTTGTTGTTCGGTACAATCATTCAACCTGCTATCAGGTAGAAATCCCCAGTAATTAGCAGTAACAAATAAGCCGCCATCTTCGATGGCTCCGCGTCTCTAATTTGCATATTGTCCAGCAAAGGTCTTTGCGCACAGGTAAGGGTAGAGTGGGAATTATTTCCGAAAGAAAAAACGTTAGAATTTTTCCAATATCTCGATGTTAGTTCCAAGTTAGGGTCTCCCTTCTTAGGTAAAGCGATAAAATGCTACACACGAAACAGGTCTTCGTGGCTTAAAATTCAGACAAAGAAAAGTAACTCTGTTAAAAGCTCTGAAATCCCGACCCTCACCCCCACGTAAAATATGTTGTAACGCACGAGTCTCGGATAACACATCTTCAGTCAAAATGCAGGACTTTCAAACGTCTTTAAAATGGAAACCCGATAGTCGCACGTGGAATAACGCTTCAGCAGTTACTACTGGCTTAATCAAACGACACAAAGAACACAGATAGATGATACACACATGGGACTTGGCAGTAACTGTTTTTCTTCAAAGTCGGATATGAGTACTGACAAGAACACGGCTGAAAATTATATGCAGGGAAAGAATCAGTTTGCAAGATTCAGGATATTACAAACCGTGGTAGGTGAACATGCTATTATTATGTGTATGTCATTTATACTGTTTGGTAATGCTGACGTTTCGAACTGATGTAATATGCCGATACGATGATAATACTTTTGGTCACGCACCCTCGGAAGCTGTTGGTGTGATTTTGTGTGAACGATTTCGAATAATTTTTTGACGAGTGCCTAATCATTTGCCCAAACTGAACTTTACATATATTGAAAGACCTATCCTAGTATAGTTCTAAAATCTTTTGGAATTCCGAGACATGGCACATAGTCAAAATGACAATTCTTTTCACCGACTAACTCGATTTTGGAGAACACTCTGGTTTTGTTTACCGCTAAATAATTAGATTAATCCAATATTCTTGAAACTGGGCTTCTCTCTGCAAGGAATAGTTTTGCAATAAGTTGGTTCCATTACAACTTTTCTGCGCTCAGTAGTTGCGAAATGCGAATCGAATGAAAATGATCGATTTTCAGCCCAGTTGGGACTCGCTAAATTGCATGAAATTGAGTCTGAAAGTTAAATCGTAAACGTCGCTTTTCTCGGAAAGACAAAACTATTTCAAGGAAAAAACTACAGCCTGTTTGCACTCTTGCTAGGAGCTAGCTATATGCAAAATACGGGCGAATTTGAGCTTTCTAGCCTTTTCGAAGAAATTTGATTTTGTTTGATTTTTGTGGGCATTTGCTCTTAAATAAGTTATTACTATTACTATTACTATTGATTGTATTAGGACGTTCGCGCTAATTGTTCCTGCGCATCCTTACTGCGCACGCAAATTCACACGTCAAGTCACGCATGAGAACGCGCGCTAAGTAATAAAATGAACAATGATAGGGCAGATGGCCATTGCTATAGCTTTGCCTGGATTTAACTATCTTGGACGTTCGGTGACCCCTACCTTTCTTTCCAGATACAGATTTTATTTACAATTATCTCCACATTGTCCAAAAATGAACAAAAAATCAATGTAGGAAGTTAAAAAAAATTTCAAGATATATGTCCACGGACATCGAATCCTGCCATCTTGCGGCTGCAAGGCGCGTGAAACTATGGTCGCTCAATGCGAACTTGTTCTTTAAGGAACCTCACCAGTTGACTGAATTTACTTTATAGGTCTACTTAAACAATATTTGGCAGAGAGCATTTCACTTGAAACATCTAATTGCAATATTTTGGGCTTAAAGACACTGTGGCCTTATTCGCTAATGAAGCCCGATTTTTTCAGATTTAGACATGTTCTCTCCAAAACGAAGTCGGTGACCCCCCTTTTTTTAACATTTCTGACATAACTAACTCATCATCTTACAGTGGAAAAAGTCTCAGGATAAAATCAATATTAACAGAGGCATTGCTGTTTGCTATGATATACATTAATGAGTAAGAGGCTTAAAATGGGTCGGCTCGTCATTTTCAATTAAATCATTATTGAGCTGGACCAAATGAAAATTGGATTAACCACTTTGCTCTATCTTTGAAAATGAAGACTGATCTTAATTATAGTAGTTTCAGTATGTACATGTAGCAGAACTCTGGCGACCAGTAGGGTCACCAAGCAGAGCACCATAACTATAGGAACAGAACCACATGCATGCATAGGAATAGAAACCCATGCAACTCTTTTTTCATGGTTAACATGGCTAGCGGCATGGATCGCGAGCGCGTGCGCCCGACGACGACGACGACGACGACGACCTCGCGCAACATGGCGGCCATACTCCACCCAATACCAAGTCATGGTTTACAGCGTACGTCTTTGATATTTGACATCCATGTTATGGTCAATTGACACCTGTCAAAACAAGGTATTCGCTGAGCAGTATCATGTGACCATATCGCCGGTTCAGGTTTATAACTCATCGAGGTCATGTGTCTTTAAAGTTGACCGCTGACCAAGCACTTGTTTCGACTGGATCGCAAGCTCATGTCAGGTTAATTTGTTGTAATCAGGGCCGGGTTGTTCAGAAATTGGGTTAACGCCAACCCAGGATTAAAAGTTAACCGAAGTATAAATTTATCTGTGTTTTTCACTGCTTTAGGGTCAGCTCTCTTGGTGTAGTTTGAGATTATTCAAAATCAAATAGAAGGCCTAAAATATAAACAGAAAACCTCACCCCAAAGTTACAAAACTGAAATCAAAATTCCCGCTTATCCTGGGTTAGCTTGATCGGGTTTTGAACAAAGCGGCCAAGGAACTCCGCTTTTAGGCTTGACTAAATCTATACGTTAGCTATTCGAGAGGAAGTCTTGCGCAAGATCAACTGTTCGTCGTCCACATAGTTGCATTTCTTAAGAACGTTTTTCTCGCAATTCCACTGTCAAAATAACAATTGCCACAGCATGTGCAACTTGTGAATAAAAGACTATTAAATAATACATTTGGTTGGAAAGAGAATGTCAAAGCCTTATGTGCCTTATGGCATAAAGAGATATAGGATAGGATAGGAAATAATACATTAAGGGTCGATATTTCTCTCGAAATTTTTTAACTTTCTTAGTATTTTAGATCACGCAATACTGGGTATTATTGATCATATGATTGATTTATACTAATCCCGACCTACCTCCCATGCTACCGGTGTCATCTATGACAAGAGCTAATGTCCTTACTGCTTGAAGATCCAGGAAGCGTGCAAATATGTCATCGCCAACAGTAGTGCGCAAATCCTCAAAGAACTGCTTTGTAGCTTCTATGGCATGTTCAGCGGCAACTGTATGGAGCCTGACAGTCGAAATGAATAATGTCGTATATAGTTCACCTGTAATTTCCCTTTGTTGTCATTGGCCAAAACTAATCGCGTGGTACGATCTCGCGCGATAGAATGCCAAGGTTCGACTATTTAACAATTAGATTATTAGGCCGAATGAACTATTGCCTCATAGAAATCGAGAGCGAATAATCTAATTGTTTTATTAGAATTCTAACTGAAATTTTCTTCAAATAACGATTCCAATTATTTTTGGTCTTAGTATTAAACTTCTCGCTTTAGAGAATTCACGGACTGAATTTTCAATTTGGCATTGTGTATGTGTATGTGCTCTTATCATTTTCTTTCAAAAATTTCGAGCTTTTTAAATTCAAGAAACTGTACGTAAACTTCCTCCTTTAAATCTTCTCAGGAATTTGATTATCCATTTGTCTCTAAGTGTTGTTTCAAAACTTCGGAGAAACGAGGAAACGTTGTAATTTTGTCGAACACACCATATAGCACGAATGAGTAGTTTTTAGGGTGAAAACTGCGCAGTAAAACGGCAAGCGGGTGCTGAGGTTTGGAGAAAAGCAAGGTTTTATTTCTCGTTTTCCACGTTTTTGCAAGTTATCACGACATTAAAAAGAAAAACATTTTTCGTGGATGCATAAATTTAATTATTGCCGTAACCCATAAGATACCCTGATAGAAAATACGAAAACTTTCAGTGCCCCACAGTATTTGGAAATTTCAATAAAATAAAATCATGTGTCGTTTAGCTTTTAGGCATGCTGCGGGTACAGGAAAATTTAGTGGTGAATAAAAGACAATATATACGGGTTATTGACCCAGCGTGAGGTCAACATGGGTGGGTATTGGCCAAGTTCTTTTTTTGCGTGCTTATGGACCTCGACTTTGTCTCGGCCCATAAACACGCCAAAAAAGGACGAGGCCAATATCCAGCCATCTTGACCAAACAAGCTTGGTCAATAAGGATTTATTATATGGGATAAAACACCAAAAAATGATCTTTGTACTTGTTTATCTCCAAGGACTGAAAGGGAAGCCAGTTTCATGCAAAAATCAATGGCGAGTGCACCTTTATCCTGATTGGGTGAATGCATAAATATAAATTAGCAAATGTACGAAACCTCTCGAACTCTTCGAAGCAGTTGTTTGAACCTCAAAAATGTCTGAAAATGGCTTCAATTTTCAGCACCTAAGTTCTAAAGAAGGTTTAACCATTAGAGCAAGACATGTTCATTTCATCTGCCCGCCGCTTTCGCCGATCCTTAGGCGCTTGGAAGAATTATCGCTCGACTCTGTGGCCCTCAACAATGTTCGCATTTGAACCTCTTTTGTTCAAGGAGCGTCGAAGACCTCGTTGAAAAGACGTCAAACTGACAGGCTCGTACTGCCCATTTCTCCCTCAGGTAGGTAAGTTCCCTATTCTCGTTTTCTTGGAAATAATACCGCTTCCACGCCTTCATGTCATCTTGTGTCTTTACTTCAGCTTGTTGCTACCCTGCGAACAATTGATTTCTCCTACGCCGAACGAGAGAGAAACCTCTGTGAGCAACCGTCAGCTTTTCCATCGAGCAGGCGTGAGTTTTTCACGCCCCACGTGATGCATTTGACGTCAGCTGCATTTGTTCACTGGAGGTGTTTGTACAACGCTGGTCAAAAGAACGCAAATGTATCAACAAAAGCTCCGACCAAAGAACGCTCCAGAACTTCGTCGAAGTACCATCTCGTCTGGGGTTTAAATCTAAAGCCTAAATTTAATACTTGCTGAGCAGGATTGCTGAGCTAGATGAACACAATAAAACGATTTTAACTCAGAAAATACGATCGAAAACGGGTTTGTAAAAGCTGTTTCAAGCGACTGACTCACAGTCTCGAATAATTATGATCGTAACCATTCGCAGTGGAGTTGGACTTTGATCGCTACACGGTGAGCTCGCTTAAACGCAGCAGTTTTGTTGGTGAGCGCATGCGTGTGAGCCTAAACCAGGTTTTAAACTAGTTTTACCAGTTCAAAGTTAATTTATTCGTCCATGGCGCTGGACGGCGGTTAACACTGCGTGAAAGCCAAAATATTCTAGAGTATTCTAGACTCGAATATGTGATTGTGACGCAATAGA